TATTTTTCAAAATACTTCTGAGAATTATTAGTGGTTCTTGGAAATATTAAACAAGTTTTTTTTGAGAACTGGTGGTCTTTTTTCTTCTTAGTATTATTTATTTTATAATGAATATTTTGATAAAAATTATATTAAATTATATTAAAATATACAGTGTCTCAGGTTTAATATTTATATCTCAGGTTTAATATCTATATAAAATGTTATAAAACCGTATTGAGTTATAAATTAAAAAAAAATTCTTTTAATCTTTCTAAACTTTTAAAAACTGTTTGACTAATTTATGTTTTTTAATCAAATCACTATTTTTAATGCAATAAACAATATACTAAAAAAATATATAAAAATCGCTGGAAAACCGAGAAATGTCAGGGAAATTTGGTTTGATCCTCATTATAACAGATTAGCCTACAATGGTTAGGCGCTTGTCCCCTTTATACCTAAAGTTCTCTTAAAAAAAATTATACATCAATGTACAGGGTGATCCCCTATAATGTCACCCCCCCCTTAACTTTTTTATTTTAAGTGTCCCAAAAAATTTAAAAGTGTGGTTATGTAGGTACTAAAAATACTTTTTTTCTACGTATTAAAAAAATTAAAAATTGATCAATATACAGGGAAAAACAAAAAGTTTATTTTTTTTAATGGATCACCCTATATATGAATTTATTTTTCGATTCCTTGTAAAATTCTGGGCATAATTCATATAACAAACTATATCCTAAATTCAACTGTTTCTGAAATATTCGCATTCGAAATGTTATCATTAAATGTTTTTTTAAACTGTTAGAAATCAAGAAGCCTCAGAATACCAAAATTTTTATTGAAAATAAATTATTATAGTAACATTATGTCAATATGTCTTGTTAAATAAGTAAAAATGGCCTACTCAGACAGAGAAAGACAAACTATTTCAACTTATTATCTTAAAAATAATTTAAATATTTCAGAAACGGTTGAATTTAGGTATATGGTATGATAAATGAAATATGCTTAGAATTTTTCAAGGAATCGAAAAATAAATTCATATATAGGGTGATCCATTGAAAAAAAATAACTTTTTGTTTTTCCCTGTATACTGATCAATTTTCCAATTTTCTTTATACGTAGAAAAAAAGTATTTTTTAGTTCCTACATAACCACACTTTTAAATTTTTTGGGACACTTAAAATAAAAAAGTTAAAGGGGGCGACATTATAGGGGATCACCCTGTACAGGGTGTTTGTTTCTAAGAAATTAAGTGTTTATATTTTTAAATTCAAGAATATATGTTAAACGAAGCTAGTTACTATGTAATAAATATGTTTGTATTACTTTGCAGTACCCTGTACTGTGACGTACACTCGCAAAGAAATTTATGAAGTGGTAAAAAGAAATTTTCAAACGGAGCTAGACGCGCAGATTCTGCTTTTGGAAAAATATTTTAATCAAAAGTCACGCGTACCTTTTAAGATAAACCCAGATTCTGTAATCAATTTAAAGAAGTTGCTGGGCAATTTCAAAAGAAAATGGAGGGAGTAAAGCAGAAAAAAAGATAAATTTCTCAGTAAAAATAAATTATGGTTAAATATGTCCACAATTATTGCAGTGAGTATTGTATAATGTTTTTTTATTTTAGATTTATACTCTAGATAAACTCCATATCAGATTTTGTGTTTTATCAAAAAATTTAGAAATCAGTAGTTGGACATTTTACAAAATGTTTTACATTAAAAAATAGAGACAATTTCAATTAAATATTTATATAATAAAGTATACAAAATTGTCAATTATAACATTCAAATAATATTCATATTATGTATTTATAACACAAAATCAAAATATATAAATGTATAAATTTAATTTTTTAAATTTTCAAATGTAAATGCAAGATTCAGGGATCATCTTTTTTTTAAATTTCAAAGCTTTAAAGATTGTGATATCAATTTTCTTAAAGCGAAAAAGCAAAAAAAAGTCTAAATTTATTTGAAAAATGTCGGCCATATTGGATAAGCCATTTTGTTTTTGGAATAATGGATATCAAATTTGTTATCAGCTACCTCATAAAACACAGGTTCCTAAATTTTACCGATATCAGAACATTTTTTTGAAAAAAAAATGTCCTCCATAATGGTCCGCCATTTTGTTTTTCAAAAAATAAATATAAAATTCGAAATTAGCGACCTCAAAAACCGCATATTACCGCATTTGTTAAAAAAATGTCCTCCATATTGGATCCGCCATTTTGTTTTTGAAAAAAAGGATATCAAATTCGTAATCAGTGACCCCAAAAATGTGCAAGTCCCTGTTTTGGTAAACATATAACTAAACCTTCATATTTTGACCATGTTTTTGGGCTTTTGGACAACTGTGTGACGTTCTTTTTTAAAATGCGATAATAAATAACCAAGTTGAAGAGGTTTTTTTTTAAACAAAAATAATAAAATTGGTATTTTTTCTACCTTTCTTAATGGGCTTTAAAATGACGAAAACTTTTTTAAAATGCGATAATAAATAACCAAGTTATAGAGGTTTTTTTTTAAACATGAGCTGTCAAATTGTGCAAAATAATAAAATTGTTATTTTTTTAACCTTTCTTAACCCTTTCAGTCCGGGAAGTGGATCCGTCCGCAAAACCTAATGTGATCCCACAGCCGGGAGACGGATTTAAACGCGCGGCTGTCTGATGCATTGAGACCGGGAAACGATCGGATCCACGGGTACAATATGATGCGTTATGCTTCGTTTTATTTATAAACACAATTTTATAGCGATCGGGTATTATCGTTACGAATCGTTATTATTTATTTTAAATGTGAAAAATGATTAGTTCTTTCAATAAATTACGTTGTTTCTTTATGTGAAACTTTATAAACTATTTTTTCTTTTAATAAAAAATAAATTACGTTTTGTTTTTTAATTCACATTGGGTACGGGACGTATGAATCCGCGTGGCCTTAAGTCCGGGAAGCGTACGAATCCGCAAAGCCTAACGAACGCCGGCTGTGCAGCAAGGCGAGCCAAACGAACGCCGGACTGAAAGGGCTTTAAAATAACGTAAAATTTTTTAAAATGCGATAATAAAGAACCAAGTTATACAAGTTTTTTTTTAAACATAAATATATTTTTTCAACCTTTCTTAATGGGCTTTAAAATGCGTTAATAAAAAACAGGTTATAGAGGGTTTTTTTAAACTTTAAAATGGCGTAAACTATTTAAAAATGCGATATAGAGGTTTTTTTGAAACAAAAATAATAAAATTGTTATTTTTTCAACCTTTTTAAATGGGCTTTAAAATGACGTAAACTTTTTTAAAATGCGATAATAAATAACCAAGTTGAAGAGGTTTTTTTTAAACAAAAATAATAAAATTGTTTTATAATATTTGAACTATTAGAATAATTTAAACTATTTGAATAATTCGAAGTATTCGAACAATTCAAATTATTTGAATCATTCGAATAATTTTTACTATTCAAATAGTTCAAATATTCAATTCAAAATTCCAGTCAAATATCATTATTCGTTTTAATTCAATTCGAACTCAACGATTCGACACTATTCGCACACCCCTAGGAAATTTGTCAATTTTGTAGTTAAGATTTTCATATAAAAACTACGAGTAATCAAAAATATGTCTAATATTTTCTAATATTCTCTAAAAAGGAATTAGAAAAAAATGACTAATTGTCATAGCGAAAAAGCAGCCACTAATAATTCTCCCTGAATCATGTCGTCAAAAGTTATAATATGAAATTGACAATACAATTCATTAATATTAGAACCAATAAAATGCCAGCATTCCATAGTTACGCATTTTATCTCAGCGGCAATATTTTTTATCATCTTGTTTACACGGTACTAAGGATTTTGACACTTTTCTTGATTTAACATTTGTTGTCATTTAAATTCTGTGTTTGATATATATCAATAAAATAATGAATTATAAACTCTAAAAGATCGATGGGTTGGTGTAAACGATAATGAAATTAAGGTAAGTTTGAATAAATAAGGTTTATTAAAGTCTTTTTAAATTTTAAAGCACATTTCAATTTTAAATGTCAATCTGACATTTTTTTAATTCTAAAATTCATTGTATTTTCTCACTAAATATAACTCGTGGTATGATTAATAATCGAAGATATTTACTCATTGAAACCGAAGCAGCACATTTCACTCGTCCTGCGGACTCGTGAAATCTGCAGCTCGGTTTCAATTCGAAAATATCATCGATGATAATCATACCACTTGTTATATTATGGGTGACAATATTTCAAAAACTGCTCTACTTTCATAATTTTTTACGGTCTTTTCGGATTTAGGGTATACAATGTTACATAATAATAATTATTAGCTTTTAAATGTCCGGGATACAAATTACTATCGACTACAGTTGACTGCTTTTTTACTTTGAAAACTAGTAATTTTCTACAAATTCATTTTTAGAAAGTTAATATTCAGAGGACCATTTTATATAAAATAATTATTGAACCAAAAATTCAAAATATCAAATCAAAAGGCATCTTAATTAAAAAATTTAAATATTCAACTCGTGGTAGGTACTAGTACAATATTCGCTGCAATTTGTACTAGTCCAATATTCGCAACCGCTCTGATTGGTACACTTTTGACAGAGGACAGGTGAAAAATTGTATTAAACCTTTTTTTCTTAATTTTTAAAATGCTATCGACTATAACATTTTTCTAAATAAAACCAAGACAACTGTGTAATAAAATTTTAAATATTTATTTAATATTCCTTCATAATTTAAAAATAGTAGTGCAATTAATCTCTTATATAAAAGGTTTAATTTATATACGCACATTCCAAGTCAATTTAAATTCTATGAATTTAATCAATGTCAAATCATTGTCTTTCATTCATTTAATTATCTTAGTTTATTTTTTAACCACTTTCTTTTGCATAAAATTTCTTGAGTCACAACCTTAACCTTAAAAGCGCTATAGGTATTATTTATTGTTTCGAAACATAAATCTTTAAAAAATTAATGAAATCTTACCTTGCACTTTCAAATGTTGCTGAGCCGCTGCTTCCAATGGCACCAAATCCCACGCCAACGGCAAGACCTTCTGGAATATTGTGCACTGTAATAGCAACCACAAGGAGAATGATCCTTTTCCATTGTCCATGCTGAATTTCTTCGATGTTTGAGACATCTTCGTAACTCTGAACCAAGGGAACAACATCTTCATTTGCTCTTGATTGTTTATGATGTTTACCTACTGTAAAATTTAAAATAAACAATTTAAATGCATTCTTTATTATTTATGTATAAAGGGTGGTTCATAATGTTAAAAGGTTTAAAAAAAAAGTATAACAAATATCTATAAATTTAATTGAAATGTCATTTCACGGCATATTAAAAAGTGCAGTTCACCACACCGACTAAGATTTTTCTTAAATTTTATATAGGCTATGACACAGACCAATGTGGTCTGTGGGCTATGATAACAAAAAATCTTCCTTTTAAGGCTGATTTTAAAAATGTTATCAGAATTTGTGTCTTTTAATGTTTTGATCCGGGCTACGTTTTAAATTTTCATATGCTGTAAACATCACTGATTTTTTTAAATTAAAAATTGCATACGAATTAACCGAGGGGTAAACCACTTTAAAATAAGGATAATAATCATGACGGTAGTCATGCGCAACGCGTCGCTAAGAGAAATTTCTTATTGGTAAGAAGCTGATTTTGAAGTGGTTTACCCCTCGGTAAAGATGGTATACAGGGCCGTTGCTGGCGAGCGTGCAGTGCGTGCACGCACGCAGGTGCAACATTTCGGGGGCGCAAAATCAAATAGTCAATCAGTACTTTGTAACTTGCAAATAAACAAATACTTAAACATACATAGGATAAAGGTTACCGCCTTTATTTGCGTCGGCCGCATTAAAGCCCCATGCCCCTCTTTTTTTCGGCCGCTATAAAGCGCCTTTTGCCGCTTTGATATTGAAGGCTTAATTTTTTTATATGAGTATCAAAATAAAAGGACAGAAGTTGTCATAATATTTTTTCTACAACCGAGCGAAAAGTACAAATTTGCGCTTCCAAAGCGCAAAGTTGCACTTTTCCGAGGAGCACGCGTTTTTATATTTTGTCGCTCCCCGAGCGACAAAGTAACCAAAACGCTCGCTTATTTACCATGGAAACCATAATAACGAAACTTCTAGTATACAAAAGTCAAATTTGAGGTTATAAATAATTATTAATTATTACCAAACATTTTTATAAAAACACCGGTTTTAGAAAAAATCCTGTGTGTAATTCGAGCGCAAAGTGACATTGCCGCTCTCGCGAGATAGCCGCGCTCCGTTAAGCGTCGCGCGTCAAACTTTTCCCTCAGAGCGACAATATTTCACTTTGCGCTCTTAATATCAAATAGCTATAGTATTTGTTTGATAGTTGCAGTTGACGGTAGTAAAGTTTAACAGTTGTTTACACAGTGCATGACTTGGTAACGAGCTTACTCTCTAAAATTGAATAATTATCGCCAACAGCAATTTGTATCCCGGCCATTTATCAGTCAACTCCAATGTAAAATTGTCGTCAAAAGTTATAAAAGTAAAACAGTTTTTGAGATATAGTCAATTTTCCATATAATATGGAATTAAATATATTTCAAAAACTGCTCTACTTTCATAATTTTTGACGGTCTTTTCAGGGGATTTAGGGGACAATTTTATAAAATGTACATTTTACTACTAGCATTTACAACTAGCATTTTTATATTTTATAATACTTGCCAAAACGCTTCCGACACAAAAATTATAAAACAAACATTACTCTCAGAAACGTTTTCAAAATGTTTATAAGACAGCTATAAATGTAAAATTGGCACCACTTTATAAAACATTTCAGTTTTGGTTAGTATTTTGTAAAAGCTTTTGTCTTAGAAAAACTTTACAAAAGCATTAAAAAACAGTTTTGTTAAAGCTTTTTATACTGCGCTATAAAATATACTTTACAATAGTATAAATATTTCTATAAAAACAACTACACAGAAAAAACTCTAGCATAGCATGAATGGGTGAGCCATTAAACCAATGGGACCTTGTAATCCGTATTCCTGAATAACAGTTCCTATAATACCAATAGGTAGTTAGCACTTGGTTTATAATCATTTATTGTTTTTAAATTAACAACAAAAGTTATCGCTCCTAAATCTATTGATATTTATTTGTTAGAATGTTAGAATGTTATTGCATTAAATACTAATTTGATTTATTTAATAGGTAACGTTACTATTGTATGTATACTATGTATACATTTAAAGCAATAAATTCTTTGACATTTAGGCAAAATATTTCCCTATTTTGGTTTAATAGTAATTAATTGAGCAAATAACAATTTAGATTGCTTCAAATTTAATCCATTCAATGACAGCGCTGTTCTTGGTACTATGTTAGATTTTTTTCTGTGTATATAATAATTTTATAATAGCTTCATGGAAACAATATGAAATAAAAATGCATATTGGAATTACAGTAACAAAATAAAAAAGTTTTTTAAAGATGTTCTGAATGCTGCAATTTTGATTTGTACCAAAAGAATTTGAACGACAAGAGGCCATTAGCAAATAAGCCATTTTTTTAATAAATTAAACACTATACCTATTATTTGGAAACTTTATTTGTGCTACAGAGATAGAAAGTTTTGATGCCAGGGAAATTTTATTGAGAAATATAGGTATAGCATATTTCTAACAAAATTTAAGTGCGCCCCGTATTTTCCAGTATTTTAGGATTTTTTTTTAAATAAGAAAAAAACTACCCAACTAACAATTATCTGTTTTATAAATATCGTAAGAACGTTTACAGAACTATTTTTATAAAATAACAATGTCGCTAAAAACGTTTTAATAACGTTTATACAACGCTTACAAAACCAAAAAGGGCGCACTCCTGTGCAGCAATTTAGTTCTTTAATTTGTTTTATTATGGCTTCCATAGCTTTTACCGAACAAATTAAACACTACTTTATTTGTGCTACAGAGATAGAAAGTTTTGATGCCAGGGAAATTTTATTAAGAAATATATAGCATATTTCTAATAAAATTTAAATGCGCCCCGTATTTTCCAGTATTTTAGGTTTTTTTTTAAATAACAAAAAAACTATAGTTATAGCTAGTTATAGTTATAGCTATAGCTTCCTTGATATGATAATTTTATACAAAAAAACTTAAACCGATTGGTTGTAGAGATAAATAATACTATTTTTTATGTATTTTACCTACTGCAAGTGTCATTATACGTGTGATATTTAATATTTTAAATTTAAATTATTTCGATTCCATTTTAAGATGGCGTTTTTCTATAAAATAATTTACTATTATAAAACAATTTAAATTACTGTTGACGGTATCTATGGTTACCACGTAATCTCTCATTGTTTAAAATTTAATGGCGTCAATTTATAGTTTTTTAAATAATTTGTTAACTAATTAAGTGTTTTGAAAGCGAAATTACTGATAAAAAAAATAGCAGTCACTGACTCATAAAAAACATTGACAAGCCAAACATTTTTAAAATTTAAAAGTAATAACCCAAAAAATCAACAAAACTGTAGGATGTCTTCTACATGAAGCACTAGCTTATTGAAGACATTAAAAAATTAAATGCCAACCTGATTTAATAATTATAAAATATTTTAATAATAAAAAAAAATTAATAAACCAACAATTAACAATTTTTATTACCAATAACCTATCTAATTTTTAATAAATGTTCAAAGTGTCCTCCATTTATATTCAAGCATTTTCTAATTCTCACTTCTACATTTGACGTTGCTTTTCCTAACTCTTCTGGGTCTAATTCTTGAAAAGCAGCCTGGACACGGTTTCGTAGTTCGTCTTTTGAACGCAGTGGAGTTGTGTTAGTGTACACTTTATTTTTTATAGTCCCCCATAAATAAAAATCCAAAGGCGACAGATCTGGAGATCTTGCAGGCCATGTCCACGGACCCAAACGACGAAACCATCTGTCTTCAAACATTTGGTATAGCTCTCTACTTACAGCTTCACTACAGTGAGCTGGTGCTCCGTCTAGCTGATACCAGCATTCTACAGCTTCATTTAACGGTAAATTGTCTACGAAATCATCAACTACTGTTCGTAATATTTCTAAATATTTTTGACTAGAGAATGCCTCATCATAAATGTAATAAGCCAGGGTGTTGTCTTTTATTAATGCAAATACGTTAAAACTAAATTTTACTTGAAAATTCTGTTCTTTGGTTAAGTGTGGAATTTCATCACCCCAGTGATTAGCTCTAGTATTGAAAATGCCTTCTCTGGAAAATTTGGCTTCATCAGTCCAAATTACTTTTTTCTTAAAATTTTCATCTTCTTGAATTTTTACCAAGAACATTTCACAGAATTCTACTCTCGCAGCGCCATCTTGAGGGTGCAGATGCTGCACTTTTGTAAATTTGTAATTATGCCATTTGTACTTCTTTAAAATACGATGCACCGACGAGACTGAAACACCCAGATTATCTCGGTGATTATCGATTGCGCACAATGTTCAGTTTTTACCTGTCAGCATTAAAGGATTATTTGCAATATTTGTATACGGGGTGATTTTTATAGTTCTTGAAAAATGAAGTTAAAATTGTTTTTTTTTTAATAATAAGAATGCGATTTTCAATTTAAAAAAATACCTCATTTAATGTAAAAAAATGTTTAATATTGGTAAACATTATTTTGTCAATTAATTAATTTAATCCTTATTAAGGTAATATTATTTGGTGATTAGGTAATAATAATTATTATTGAGGTATATAAACTATTTATTTATATAGTTTAGCATTATTTCATCAATTCAGTTCTTGGGAGCAAAGTGAATTATTCAAAATGGAAACTATGTTAAGTAAGCGAGGCAAAAAATTGATCGTAATTCAAAAGTATAAGTTTCGTAAACATAGAGAAACGGCACTTGGTGTTTTTTATAGATGTACAGTTAGAACATGTAGCGCATCTATATCCGTGGACAAGACAGAAGAGGTTCTACTCCAAGTAAATGGTCAGCATAACCATCCTTCCATTGAAAATCTTCAAGTAAAGAAGCTACAAAATGCAATTAAAAGAAAAGTGACAGAAGACATATCTCTTCGCCCATCAAAAATTATTAATATGGGAATTAATGAGGCTCCAAATGTCTTGAATATGTTAACAACAAAAGATATTGGTAACATGAAACAAAGTGTCTACCGGTCGAGAAGAAGTAT